TAATGTAATTTTCATGGCCTCAAAAATAAACAAATGCAGTAAAAGCAGCGTAATGTCAGTTCATGCACTGTATTAATGATAATTTTGTCCTTTTTTACAAGTAATATTACTCCATACTGTAAGTAAATCATACACAGATTTTTTAAATCACATAGAAGTGGATGCACTTCAATCGTGTCGAAACGATTGAAGTGCATCCACTTTTATGTGATTTAAAGAATCTGTGTATGTCATTTACATGGAGTTTTTTTTTAACAATAATTTATAGCATATTGTGTATCAAAACGAAATCGTAAAGTTCCCATATTATCCATTCAGAGAGCTTCTGGAGCCATCCTATAGAACTTTGGATAGACCTCTGGGGAATCCGTAAGCGAGTAACAAATCAGGGCTGAAAAACTTCAGGATTGTTGCACGAAAAACCTCAAAGATACATTCAGCAGGAATTATGGGCAGCTTGACATCGTTTTTGAGTTAGATTTGGGGGTATTATATTGCATCGATTCTCAACCAAGGTTGCAAAGACTCATTTCAGCTAAAACAATGTTTTTCTAAATTATGAAATAATTAGATGCCATGATCAAATTTTGAATTGGTAGGATACAAGAAGAGGTTGCAAAGAATGTGTTTGGCATACTAAACCTGTTTATTTCACGTCATGAGAGTCACAATCAGCGATTTTTCACAAACTCACTCACTCACTCACTCACTCACTCAGCGATCAGCAAATCGCTGATTGTGACTCATAGAAAGCAAAATTTACAGGTTTTATGTTTCCAACTTTGTAACCTCTTCTTGTAAGTTACAAGTAAAACATGCCATCATACCATCTTTTGGTTTTATTATTCCGAAAAACATTATTTTAGCTGAAATGAGTCTTTGCAACCTTGTTCTCAACCAGAGGTACGCGCACCCTCACTTAATGAAAAGCACACAAAACGAAGCGATTAAGAGCGAGCTTGATATAGTACCTGATGATGTCCAACTCCGACGACAAACGGTTTCTGGGCAAATGCTTCCTCGCAATACCGGTGATGAGATCCGACTTGAGCTTGGTTTTTGGTGAAATGATTTTCTATTTTGGTTCTGCTTGCTACGGCAATCAAATGGAAACTAATAAATTGGGTGATCCCTCTCCGCTCATATATCCTCCTATTTAATTCTAGAAACTTTGAAACAAATGTTATCAAGTGATTTGCAACAAAGTAGGTGATTTGTATTTATCGATTTCAATGATAATTTGATTTGCTGGTGGACATACTGCAAGTATTGAAATTCTGAACTTTTCTTTCCACAGTAAATCACGAATAACTTTTTAACGGTTAAAAATGAGGTTAAAGTGTCTTCGGCAAAGTTTTTGCTTATAAAATTTCTCATATTTCTGTTGCATTTGATTGATAATAGCGCTATGTTTGATACCCACTTTTGATGATTGAATGCTGTGATGTACAACAAAAAACATCATTTTAGAGAATTTGAAAAAATTTAAATAACAAATTGGACACAGAACATGCCGTAACAATTTTTTCTCTTTTAGTTTTGACCCTTGGGAATCTGCGAAAAATATAAAAGGGTGAGATTTCACTGAAATTTAAAGAACTAAAAATATTTTTTGGATAATAGCTTTTTTCAAAAATCTCGCCGGGGCGAACTCTAAACAACATTTTGTTTGTAACACCCTTAGCTATCATTTGGAGGTTGAGCCCCCAGATTTCCAAACATAATACATTTTTGGGACACCCTATAAAACAGTTTCAACTAGAATTCAGATCCTCTATAGTGGAAATTGTTCTCTAGATTATCTGGCATATTTGATATGCACAGTTTTGGACACAAATTACTTATGTATTCATTAATTTTCTCTCATTTTTTTTTTATGAATTTTCTTTTATGCAATTGACTGATAATGGGTTGAAATTGCCTTCACATTCCTTAGTGATCATTTGTTCTGCTATCATGATATATAAGTTAACCAGGAACAGGATGGCCATTGCCTTATCTAATTCCTTTGCGTGATTCAAAAGAGTTTAATAACGCACCCGATTTCTTCATACAGCACTGTACACCATCCATTGTTGCGTTGATCAGTCTGGTCAGTTTCTCAGGAAACCCCTTTTCGTCCATCCTAGCGTCGATCAGTCTGGTCAGTTTCCCAGGAAACCCCTTTTCGTCCATAATCTTCCATAGCTCTTCACGATCAACAATTTCTTAAGCAGCCTTGAACTCGATGATCAAATGTTGAGTTTTCACGCTACTTTTGGAGGATCTGCCGCAACGTAAATATTTTGTCTGGTTGTCGATCGCCTGTTTACAAAACTGGTGAGGTACCTTCCCACAAATCTAATTGCGGCGGTGTGCGATGAAAGATGATCTTAGAAAGCACTTTATAAGCAGCGTTGACAATAGTGATTGCTCGGTAGTTTGCGTATTATTAATTGTAACTGCGCTGTAATAAATGTAAATGTAAATGCGCTGAGATTTTTGGGAACTATGCAGCATACATCTACTCAATTTCTTTCCACTCTAACTATTATTCCGGAAAAGCTGAGTTTGCTCTTTTTTACAACTCCAGCAGCTCTCAAGAGGGGCTTTAGTCATCTCTCACTTATCTGTTTCAAGATTTTGTGCGTAGTCAGTTGCGTGCTTGGGTAGCTTGAGTCTTTCCAGATTGTGTTGGTTCCAAATGATGTTGACACCGGAAAGTCTTTGGCGCACTTTTACTATTATAAAATAGTGTTCCTAATTGATGTCTACCTGCGATTGGTCCTGTAGTCGATGATATGCCATCCATCAATCACAAGGTTGTTGATTTGTAGATAACATGATGATGATCTCAATATGTACCGATATGAGGGGCTGTGTTGGCAGGGCTGGTAGCAGGTAACTTTTTAGTGACTTTTTTGAAGCCAGTTACTAAAAAGTAACTTTTTACACCAAAAAGTCACTTAAGTCACTATTTCCCTAAAAATAGTCACTAAAGTCACTTTTTCACTACTAAAATAGAGTGAAATTTAAAAATATCAACAAAATGTTCAAATTGAGTACTTGGCACTAAGAAAGTCTACAGTAGTTTTAACAAAATATACATATCTGTTAACAAATTTAACCAGGGTGACCAATGAACCGCAAAACTTTAGAACACCAGGAAAAGTATTGAGAAATGCCTTCAATTTCGATTAAAAATCGGAGAAAATATACCTCCTTTCCCAGAAAATAAATTGTAAACCTTGAAAAGGTATTTGACAGCGATAGATTTTCAAAAGTCTTAAGATTATTAAGAACTTTAATAAATTCAAGGTAAATTTTAAGAGAATTTTAAAGGATTCTAAAGATGACACCAGAGAAGAATGCCAAAGTACATACTACGAAAGTCTCATGTAAAATTAATTGCTCTGAGGACCGATTTCTTCATCTCCGCTTAAATCTTAAGCCAGATTTACCTATATAGTTATACCGAGTGCATTTAACGAGAGTTCTGAGAAGAATTATATGATGATTGGATGAGGATTCTATGTTAAATTCTAATAAGAATTCAAAATTAGTTCCGAAATTCCATAAGAATTCTAAAGAGTTCGAAATAAGTTCTGATAATTTCAATGGAATTGAATTTTGAGGGAATTCTGAGAAGAATTTCAAAGTTATTCTGTGATGGATTTTTGTTTCGAGAATTTTGAGGAGAATACTATGGGAATTCTAAGGAGAATACGAATTGAATTTCCAATTGAAAGCAGGGGAAAAGTCCAAGATTATTCTAAGCAGAATTTCTGAGGTTAATTGCACGGAAATTCTAAGGAGAATTCAAATACATTTGAAATGGATTTATGAAAGGAGCCTTCAGGAAGTTCCTAGAAGAATCAATAGAAAATCGAAAATGATCTACTTTAACTAATCATGTGTTATTACTTCATGCGTGAATTTAACGATTTACATAGACGGAGATGCTTAACGGCACATATCATTGGAGATTTGATACGATAGATGAGGAGATAAAATTATAAAGTTTATAGTTCCGTTGTAGTGCGGCAGTGTGAAAATTGTATATACAAAGTAGAAAGCGAGCAAAGGACAATTTTGAGGAAGGTACGAATAGAGTAGTTGTGTACGTCAGATGGCGACTTGAGTGTGAAATAATCGATAGAACTGGTTCCGCACATCGGAGGTACATGAGCAAATCGGCGGTCATCCTTTTTGCCAGTGGTGGCAGGGGGAAACACCCCTCACCATCCCTCATTAACGGATGAGCTTGGTAAAGGAGATGCTCTACCCGATTCGTACCTTCCGCAAAATTGTCCTTTGTTCGCTTTCTACATTCTATATAGAAATTTCACTCTGCCGTATTATAACGGAACTATCAACTATTTACTTTCATCTCCTCATCTATCGTATAAAATGTCCACTATAATTCTGAAATTTGATGTTAAGCATTTCAAATGCGAAAATAATCTATTTCCAAGAATTTTGTTTATTGTTCTGCAAAGAATTTCAAAAATGCAATATTATTTTTGTAAATGCTTATTTGCCTCTAAGTTTAAAAGAAGGGAAATTATTCTAAAAAAGTTCTTGAGATCATGCTAAAGAAATTTTGTGAAAAGTTCTTAGCGAATTATCAAAGTTATCTACCTAGATATATTAAAATTTTAAAGATATCGAACGCAGAATCAAATTCAAGATTATAAAAAATGGGAATTACAATTTGCATTGCAATCATGTGTAACGTAAACAAAAGTAAATTATTCAAATCACTACAAATGTTCTTCACAGGAGATTTCGTTGTGAGATTCGATTAAATTAAAAGAATTTATGAAATTTGTTTTTAAGTTCCATGACATAAAAAGTTTATTTCAATATCAAACCGTAAAGGGTGTCCACGATGAAATTGCCACACTATGAAATTGCTCTAACTTTTGGGTAGAATTTAATGAAAATTTGGGTGGATTTAGTTCATAGTGCATTATTTACATCCTGCAAGTTTTAAAGTCCTGTGATCAAAACTCGCGGAAATGGAGTCGAAAGAACAGCTCGTGCGTGATAAAATCTTGCGCATTCATCACGAGAACAAGGATCTCTCGCATCGTTCCATCGCTAAAACGTTGGGAATCGCGAATTCCACGGTGTCGCGAGTGATTAAGCGGTTCGAGGAACGGTTGACCACCGATCGGAAGCCCAGAAGTGAAGGAAAAAGTATTCCGTACAACACCAAAAATCATAACCGCGTAGTTGGGGCCTTCAACCGAAATCTGAACGCCTCCGTTAGGGATGTGGCTAAGAAGCTGCACCTAAGCCGAAGTTTTGTCCAGAAGGCCAAAACTAAGGCTGGGCTTCGAACGTTCAAGGTACAAAAGGCCCCTAATCGCGACGAGAAGCAGAACAAGTCCGCCAAAACCAGTGCCAGGAAGTTGTACCTCAACATGCTGACGAAAGTTGAATGCTGCATCATGGACGACGAAACATATGTGAAGGCCGACTTCAAACAGATCCCCGGCAACCTGTTTTTCACGGCCAAGGATAAGTTCAGCGTTCCGGAGCATGTCCGCACTCAGAAGATGTCCAAATTTGCGAAGAAATTCCTGGTTTGGCAAGCCATCTGCACGTGCGGGAAGCGGAGTGCACCTTTCGTGACCCAGGACACGATGAACGGACAGGTGTACATAAAAGAGTGCCTCCAGAAGCGGCTGCTTCCTCTCCTGAAGGCCCACAACGTCCCAACAATCTTCTGGCCGGATTTGGCCTCATGCCACTACTCCAAAGACGTGCTGAAGTGGTATGTGGACAATAAGGTCAATTTCGTGCCGAAAATGTTCAACCCTCCCAACATTCCGGAGCTCCGCCCCATCGAGAAGTACTGGGCGATTATGAAGCAGCACCTTCTTAAACTACCTAAGGTAGTGAAGACAGTCGAGGAACTGAAGAAAGTATGGGATTACATGCAAAAAACGGTTGATTCACAGGTTGTGCAGAATCTTATGGCCGGGGTTAAGGCCAAGGTGCGGGCATTTGCGTATGGACTGTAAATAAAATACGAGTAAAATGGTAAAATGAAGTTTAATAGTTATTTCTTATTCCCTTAAAATTTGATGGCAATCGGATGAAAACTCGAATTTTGCGAATCAATTTTGTGTGTGGCAATTTCATCGTGGACACCCTTTATGTGAATTTCTAAGGTACCATATAAATAGTTACTTATTTAGTAATAACAATTCACTATTTGGTCACTATTTCCTTAATTTTAGTCACTAAAGTCACTACTATTATATCACATCAGCACTACCAGCCCTGTGTTGGAAATAGGTACTGCTGTGCTTAGAGGCAGTGAAATTCTAAAATTCTCCAACAATAACAGTTGGTTTCCCGAGAAATAGCTATTTTTCCACAAAAAACATGCTGAGTAAAAATGTATTAATGACTAACAATAATAACTTACACACAACGGAAACGAAAATATTTCCGGAAAATTGGCTTTATGTTTTCGGAGGAAGCCAGAAGAAACTTTTGGGAGATATTTGGAGTGAGGGAGTATTCAGGCAGAGGAAATCGATTAAAGATAGAAGGAACTTTCGCGGGAAGTTGACGTTAATTCTGGGATAGGTCGAAAAAAAAAACATCGGTTTAAAAAAAAAACATTTGAAGGAAGACAGAATATAATTCTAGCAGAAGAATTTGGGGGAAGATTAAAAAAATAAAAATAAAAAGTCTGCATAAACTTCCGGAAAAAGTCGGAAGACACTTCCAAAATAAGAGAAAAAGAATTTTGGTGGATTTGAAGGACTTTCCCAGAAGAAGTTGTAAGAATCTTCCGAGGGAAGTGGAAAGATACTTCCAAGAAAGGTCGGCTACAACTTAACGGGAGAACCGAGGAAAAACTTGGGATAAACCTTCGGGCAAGGCTAAAGAAACTTTTAACTTGCAAATAACTTCTGGGGGATTTTTTTTTAATTCTAGTGGAAACTGAAATAGTTTTAACGAGAAGAAGGAAGCTAGTAGAAACCTTATGAGCTAGCCGGAAACTTCTGTTGAAATTCGAAAGAATCTTCCAGCATAAGCCATAAAGGTTTTATTGCAGTTTGATGAAACTTCTTGGAGGAGCCAGATGAAATTTCCGGAAGGATGTCAGAAGGCAGACACTGCATTGAGATACCTGAAAGAGTGCTGGGAAATGCTGCAATAAACATCAGGGAGAAATCTTCCAGAAAAAGTTGATAGAAATTTCGGAAGGAAGCTAAAAGAAATCACTGAACAGATTCTGATGGTAAATGAACGAAGTTCCCGGGAAAAAATCAAGAATATTCTGATCGATGTCAAAAGAAATTTCTGAGGGGAAATTAAAAAAAAATCCTGTATCTTCATCCCAAGTGACATTAAAAGTTTTATCGAGGTTTTAAAGCATTCTACAAGTCTGTTCAACATAAAGTAATGAAATCATCATATTACAACTATGTGATCACATAATAAAATGTATTTTCCACTTCCCGGGTATTCCAAGAAAGCCGTTTTAGATCTAGTCTGGTATGTTAAACGTCCGCAATGGCATCTGGGACTTGCTCGAAATGTGACCACTGTTGTCATAGGTTTTCGATTTGGCTACCACTGATCGAGATTATAAGAATAATGAAGTGAAGTGTATCGTAAGCAGTGTTGGCAAAATCAGAAATCAATCGATATTTTTCCGCTCTCATGCGCTCGCAATATCACGGGTGATATTGGAACAAAATATCATGCTTGACATTGATTCTACAAGCTCCTTTGATATTGCGAGACTATTCACAACGTGCAAAAATCAAGCTGAGAGTTGACTCGACACAAAAATGATTCCGATGCACATCGTTTTCTTAGAAAGAGAAAGTATAGTTTGCTATCTCTTTTTACTCTTCACCGATGGCAGACACGAAGTGACTGCTGCCAGCCGTTACGGAAGTTTTGGTTGTATTCGGGTGTAAAGCAAAAATCATGCAACCCACAGTTTGTTGAGATTTGCGGCTGGTGAGTTTTGTTAGCTTGATATTCCGAGCTGCGATATCACAGCTTGCAAAATCAACCGCAGTTGTTCGCTTGTTGATTTTTGTCTACGAAAATCAAGCGTGATCTTGGGCGTTAGTGAGATTTGATTTTTTGATATTTTCCCAACACTGATCGTAAGACATATTTTGGCTCCATTCTAATATTTCTCCATTTATTTATTAATAGAAATCTTAAAATCGTCATGGCTCGAATGAAGGATCTTGTAAATCAATATATATAATGGAAGTTTTCGTTTTTATGGCTTTCTCAGTCTAGGGTAATTCAAACAGTTAGTTTTGCAATGCAAAACTAACTGTTTGAATTACCCTAGACTGAGAAAGCCATAAAAACGAAATCTCCATAAAACCAGTCGAACAACCAAATCAATCATTATAATGGAAGTAGAGCCAGAGCTTTCAAATAAAACATACCCTTTCAGCCTTGAAACCAGCGTTGCTCGATTAATCTTAAGCTTATCGGTATCGACCATTTAAACAATCGGTATTTTTCGGTATCTTACCATTCGAATTGATCTCAATTTGTCGTAGCTTTTATAGGTAAATAATAATAATTATAGACTACAAAAGTCTCTTGTAGACAATTATATGAAACTTATTATAAAACAACATTTTTTTCTAAAATTGTCTAAATCTTGTTAAGAAAATTAGAAAAATTCTTCACCTAACTAATTTTATCAGCTCAAGAAGAAATAATTTCCATATTTAAGGCCTTGATTTTGGGATAAAACATCTCAGACTTGTATCACCCACTATGAATAAATTGTATGATTCCTGACTAAGTTTTTATGAATATTTCTAATTTTATGGGTAAAAAATAAAATAAATGTTTTAGAATTTTTTGACTTTTAAAAATAATTGATAATTATAATAACACCTTAGATAAATTATTTTGTATCCCGTGATTGAACTATTTCCATAAAATTCACGAGCTCATTCGTCGGATTTGATGTCTCTTTCTTAATGTCATCGATCGGAATGATTTTGCGTTGTTGGAACGTGACGTCGTTAGTGGTTTTATGGACCTCCGATATTCAATTGGATTGGAATATTTTCCATGATCGTCGATTCCAACTAGAAGGTGATTTTGGTGTTGCACTTCGAGGTATTATGGGTGCGGTCTTTCAACTAGCTTGCCATAATAGCAGCACAGAGTGCCAAGCGTGGCGAGGAATAACCGCTTATTGAAGAGACTTAGAATTTCGCAATGAATATATTAATTGTTAGTGTGGCGGTCAGTGTAAGCGGTCACAGTACTAAACGTATTTTCTGTGATAACCCGTTGCCTTTCCTTCTGACTCTCACAACACAAACTATCAAAATATAGTACCAAACTCAAATGTCATATGCAAGGAATCAAAAATATCTCCAAATGACAAAATAACAAGCGATCAACGAACCGAATAATAACGCTATGTCAGAAGTGGAAAACAATAATGATATAATCTTCACCGTTCTTTTTCATGACAAGCAGCTCGTGCGACCCAACTCATTCGGGGCGGTATAAGGAAACGAGCAAATTGTTGGCAAGCTGCTTCACGAAGTAAAGCCGAAGATGATACACGTGTGTTAATGGGAATTTTTTTGTTATGTCTTTTCCCGATTCATATCAAGCTATGTCCTCATCCGTGTATATTGCAACAAAGCAGGCAAGCAATATATCATTATCCTTCTACCACTCGGATCGAGCTTTGTTACAGAGCGAGTTTGTCATGGTAGTCGTAGCAACCGTTTTGTCTGTATCGTTGGTTGCTTTATGTGTTTGGATTCGCTGGTCATATGACATTGCTCTCATACGACCGTGCCGCCGAAGAATATTACACTTTCGTGGAAACATTGCTAATCAAAAATAGTTGAAATATATACAAAATAGAAGAATTTTAACGAAATAACGCCGTTGATATGATAGTTATTTGACAGTTTTCCATTTACGTAAATGTTGCTCTACCGCGATGTCAATCATACAAGGTCTGGAACAACAGGCAGCTTGCTAGTGTTAGAAGCAAAAATGTTGTAAACATTGCTGAGCAAGCGAATGCCGATGTCACGACAGCACAAAATTCCATACTGCGATTAGCAGACGTGTCGTCACAGAAAACAGCTGTTTCGTGTACAAAGATAAACATTGCGATGAAATACGACTACCACTGGACATTTTCACATTTCACTAATACCAATAAGCTGGTTGGGCCAGACCTTGTATAATTCACATCGGCTCTACCGCTCATGCTGCACGAGAAAGATGATGGTAGAGCATGCGTGTACGAAAATAAAAAGACTATAGTCTAAGACAACGAGCAATCACCGTTTACGACGTAGATGCATGCTCCTTACCCTTTGGAAAAAAAGCATTGACACTTTACCTCACTGTATTTCCTGCATAGTAACATTGCAGGTTTTATCGTGGTTTTATAGCATTCTACAAGTCTAAATCATGGTCTACAGAACCCTCATAAAACCAAAATTGTTACTTGGGTGACGACATCATCCCAATTCAGTTGCTCTAGCCATGGCTCCTGAACGAACATCTATGCAGTGGTGACCGCTGGTCCAATAAGACCTAAATGGTCAAATAGTGATGACTTTTCTGACAGAACAATGCGTTTAGTAACTCCTTGCAGTTGTGGAAGATCAGGAATTTTGAACTCAAAATCTTCGTTCTTTGGGAAACACAAAAGGTTAATGTTGTGTTCGATCAAGTTCTAGCAGGCCCGATGTTTTCTAAATCATCTTGCCCCTTAAATGCTGCACAGTAGGCCTGGCCGTTTTGATATGTGTGACGTATCTTCGATGTGAAACATATATCAAATAGGCAAGAAAAATGATGTAGGTACAATATATATCATTTTCCAGGATCCTTTCATGACTGGCTGTGTTGGTGATATATTAGATTAGGTTCGATTAGATTCGATTCGATCAAGTTTTAGTGACGGTTGATCCTCCTTAAAATCACCTGGAATGAAACGAAGATTGAAATCACCTCTCTTTAGTATTTCTGCCAGCTATTTACAGGCTTAGACTAGTGTTT